TAATAATAATAATAATAATAATTACTACTACTACTACTACTACTACTACTACTACTACTACTACTACTACTACTACTACTACTACTACTACTACTACTACTACTACTACATTGGAACTGTCTTATTTATGGCCCTCTACAGATTAAATAGCTGATTTGTTTACAGCAACATTCTTAGTACTTATTGGTTCATTGTAAGCATGTTTTTCAGTTTCAAATTTATAATGGTGACATATCTTCCATTTGACAAGCTTTGAAATGATGAGTGATGATAATCGTTGGTCCATATGAAGCACATGCTTTGCATATACAAGATCCTAGGCTTATTCTCTTCTGCTGTTTGGCAAGAGAAGGTCTAAAAAGACTCCTGTTTCATCTGCTGGGAAGCCGCTTTTATCAGGGTACATAAAACTGAGTTAGTTGAATGGACCAGTCGTCTGACTTGGCATATGCAAGCTATATTGCGCACAGATCTCTTACAGGTTAGCCATCATGTCCTCTGCTGTTGCCATCGCAGCAGAACACCAGAGTATAGTAGTGTCTTGCCAGTGATATTGGGATTCAAATCTTATGTTAGTGCTGGGAGTTTACTGTGTCACCTCTACACTAAGCTTCAAGCAGGTAGGAGCCATTGGAGGGCTGGGGAAAAGCTGGTGCCACTGTTGATCCTGTTGAGCTGTCACAGGAGAATTTTTGCAGAATGTACTCCAAAAATGTACTAGTAAAATGCATATCTGTTTTGTATGTGGAGGAGGAAAATGGGGCCTCCAAAATTGCTCACCCCTGAATTGTTACTGGAGCAAAAGTAAATGTAATGTGTTTTTTAGGAAATCAATACTGATCAGTGAACAATGAAAAATATTGGCTTGGATCCAGACTCTCCTATGTGTGAATGATAGGTATGTCTGACTCATTAGGTACAGAGATGTGTATGTTTCTACATGTGTGAGTTATTTCCTGCTTGTAGGTAATGGTTTGCCAATCTGGAGAGCCCTTCATAGTGGGAACCTTTCTGAGTTGCCACCACTGGGGGCAGGGAGCAAAGAACCACATTAAAGCCATTTGGATAGTATGCACTAAGAATAATCCTTGAAGGATTTCAGTTAATTGAATCTTGCCTAAACATACATGAATGATGTTCTTTTTGCCTAGTTGTCTCCGAGTGCTACAAATATTCCAAATCATTTTTCACTGAAGTAGAAAGAGGAAACAAGCTTTAAAAAGTAAACAGACAAACAAACTCTAAAATTTGTGAAATATATTTTCAGTTCTAAGGAATGTATGGTTTCTGTAAGATTTATTCATTTTCATATTTTATAGAGAGGGCTGTCACAATTTGTCAGAACAGCGTACAGTTCTGTGATCCTTTTCTACTTGCAAGCTCTGGGTTGGTTTGTTTTTTAATGATGGAGTGGTTACATGCTTGATTGTTCAGCGATGCACACAGCTATTGACAGACATTTATTTGAATGCCTTAAGCATAAGTGTATCAGTCATCTTGAGATTAAAGTCTTCCTTTATGGTTCTTAGAGTGGCCAAAGAAATGATGAATTTAAAGTTATCACAGATTCACTGAATGATACTCGTGAATGTAGAACAGGAAGGATGTCTAACCAGAACAGCCAGACTTTACTACCTTCTGCTACAGGTTGTTTTACCTTTGACTAACATTGGGTTATTTTAGTAGTATTTTCTTTTTTAAAAGTTGTTCCTAAAAGAATTCACCTGAAATTTCATCTTCATTTATATGTTGTATAAGTCAGACTCTCAGCAATCTTAAAAAAAAAAACAACTACAGAGGTTATAATTTCTTGATTTGTTATATGAGAAACAAGTTGTGGAATTAGTTCCTTCCTTCCTCTGGAATCTATGGAATATTTTAGTTCACTAAAAAAAAGAAAAAACAAAAAAGGAAATGCATTGCTATTAAATGAGACATCGTTTTAAAGGTTGCACTTTATACTTTAGAGCTATAGATGCAGATTTAGAAATAATTAGCTTAAATATAAGTATGTCTGATGATACTGAGTTAGACGATTAAGTGAACTGCATGCATTCTTAAACTGCTGTCGCTGCTGTCCTTTCTTATGGCTCATAGTCTTTGAACTGGACTATACTTGAAAAACCATTGAAGTAGTTTGATTTCTTCAAAAACAGAATTGTCTCAGGACAGCCTTTTCAGATAGATGATAGTGCTCCATGAACTGGAAGACATGGCAGCCCTCTTGATTGAGAATTAGTTTGCTTTACTGAACTATTGTTTCTGTTGTTGGTAACTATTGTTACTGAACTCATTTCACACACTAGCAAGGTTATGCTCAAAATCCTTTAGCAGTATGTGGACCGAGAACTCCCAGAAGCACAAGCTGGATTTCAAAGGGGCAGAGGAACTAGAAACCAAATTGCTAACATGCACTGGATTATGGAGAAAGCTAGAGAGTTCCAGAAAAACATCTACTTCTGCTTCACTGACTATGCAAAAGCCTTTGACTGTGTGAACCACAGCAAACTATGGCAAGTCCTTAGAGAAATGGGAGTGCCTGACCACCTTATCTATCTCCTGAGAAATCTATATGTGGGACAGGAAGGAACAGTTAGAACTGGATATGGAACAACTGATTGGTTCAAAATTGGGAAAGGAGTATGACAAGGCTGTATATTGTCCCCCAGCTTATTTAACTTATATGCAGAATACATCATGCAAAAGGCTGGACTGGAGGAATCCCAAACTGGAATTAAGATTGCTGGAAGAAATGTCAGTGACCTCAGATATGCAGATGATACCACTCAGATGGCAGAAAGTGAGGAGAAATTAAAGAACCTCTTAATGAGGGTGAAAGAGGAAAGCGCCATAAATGGTCTGAAGCTCAACATAAAAAAAAAAAACTGGTCTCATCACCTCCTGGCAAATAGAAGGGGAAGAAATGGAGGCAGTGACAGATTTTAGTTTCTTGGGCTCCCTGATCACTACAGATGGTGACATCAGCCACAAAATTAAAAGACGCCTGCTTCTTGGGAGGAAAGCGATGACAAACCTAGACAGGATCTTAAAAAGCAGAGACCTCACCTTGCCAACAAAGGTCTGCATAGTCAAAGCTATGGTTTTTCCAGTAGCAATATATGGAAGTGAGAGCTGGACCATATAGAAGGCTGACCGCTGAAGCATTGATGCTTTTGAATTGTGGTGCTGGAGGAGACTCTTGAGAGTCCCCTGGA